ACAGCATTAGACCATCACGGTAACAAGAGAAGCCGGGGAACAACTCCTTGGTTATACAGATAGATGGTTACTTTTCCTACCATCCTCTCGATTGAAATGTTCCGCGTCTTAAATTCTCCTTTTCATCCGCCCCGAAGCATCCACAGCCCGGTACCTGTCTATCCTAAACCCAAGACTTTATATTAACGATAAGAACCCCATCCCTCGTCGCCCAAGATAAGAATCCCTCGTACGCATTGAATTAAGGTCATCGTCAATGTCACTACGCATCGTCGGTCATAGAACGTAACTATTTATAAAACTCCAACAGATTCAGGGCCCATAAAAATCTACACGTGAGCGAGGACTAAGCTCTTGCCATCCAAGATGGTGACATTAAAATACTCTCGCAGGGCCAAAGTTCTTTCCCTCTCGCGCGAAAGATTTGTTACTGGTTCCAGCTAGAAATGTCGCGCAATACAATTAGAGCAATGTTTTCGGAAAGAAAATAGTTGTGATACGTGACTTGTGCAGATGTCAGCTATTCTGGACAAGGCTGTAGGCTACATGTACAAGTATTGGCGCTACAGAGTCTGAGCCATAGCCTAACCAAATGTGGCGCCGTTTATGAATAGAGGCCGCCCTGTGTCCACGCCACACAGCCATTCGTGTATCTTACAGTGCGTATGTGTTCATTGTACTACTTGATTCATAGACTATCCAGCACATTGGACTCCTCTCTGAACTAGGCCTCACCTTGTACAGTGCTCCTTGCCTCTCATGTTTCTTGAAAGATCATTGATATATTGCCCGTGATAAATAGCCATTTAATCGCCTTTTCCACGGAAATTTCTATCTGAAAAAAATGGAAGCAGTGGAAACTGCGTGCGCGGGAAAAAGTCTCAAAAAACCTGTAGGCCTAGACACCGGAGCCGCACGAGAGGCGCAAGTCTATCTACATCTTACTTCCTCGTATCAAATGAGACCAACCCGATCTGGTCCACTGTCGCCGTACCGATAGCTGGGCATGCTCCGGAAACTCATCGGATAGCTTTTCCTCTATGATCAAGGGTTGGTGATGAGTAGGGCTCCGACCCTACCATCTGATCTGATCGTGGCTAGCTTAATGATAGTGGTGATAGGGAGATGTGTTGAGACATGAAGATAATACAGACGGCGAAAGCGATTGGGATCCCTCATCGAAGTTGTTTGTTTTGTCATTAACATGCTAGGTAAGGTGGCTACCGTTACACTCCCACTGGAGCTTAAGCACGGGTGGGGCCGGGTTGGGTCAGGTTAACTACCATTAAGTACATCTACCTCGTCCCGCCTGAATGACCGGACCACCTCAGACTTCACCCATGTGTTGAATTATGTCAAGCCTGACCGTCCATGATCCCGCTGTATACAGGGCGCAGCGCAAATTCCTCCTCTGCCTCGGCCACCACGCGCCCACGCCCTTGACACCTTCGCGATCTATAACTTTTCCCTTCCCTTCCCTTCCATTCAGTCTCTGCTTTGGCTCATCCCAGCATCTCCTCATCTCATCCAGGAGTCGTTTTCTTCATTGGAGGCCTCATTCAGTTTCCCACCAAGGTCTCCTCAGTTTTTATTCCCTTGTATTCCTTCATGTAGTATCTCTCTGTCCTTCAGCCGATCTCGCGAGTCCAAAAACTTTATAGAAAGTCCATCCCTCCGGCTTTGTCCCGTCACTGCCGTACCCTTAATCGTGAAGGCCAAATCTACGAAGAAGAGCTTGAGACCAAAGCACCGGTGCCTCAGCCTTTGTAGAATTCCTCTGCTGATAAAGTGGCGATATGTATCTATTTTTTCGGTAGTATTTCGTTGAGGAACGAGTTTGCTGTACTGTCGGCAGATGTATAGACCCATTAAGGCCCTAGTACTTGGTTCGTTCCTTCATAGCGCACGGTAGTAGCGGAGTCTTAGCCCTGTTGTAACTTTGATGACAAACATAATATTTGTATTTATAGGAATGCTTAGGTGGAAGGTGAAATGAATGTAGGAAAAGCTGCGAATTGTATACGGCTGGGAAAGATCTCTTGGGGAAAATAGATGCCAAATGCCGTCGATTGCTTCGAAGACGAACAACAGAAAGGTTTGAGCCATATTTGTAGTGCGTGGCAAGAGTCAAACCGATTCCGATGGGGTTTGCAGACGTAAAATCCCAAGATTCCGGTTTTCGATCCAAAGAAAGCCAACGCCACTCCTGATTCTCATCTCGTCGCAAACTCCCAAACGCAGCCTTTCTAGTAGCTGAATATATGCTCTTTGAGAAGTCTCACCCCGAGTGCTTAGATAATGATAAATTCTCGATATATGTCTCAGTGTAGATTTGAAAAGCTTCTCTGCAACTTGTGTTGGATTCTGTTGATAAAACGCCACACTCCATACACTAGACAGACATCAAGGTCAAGAAGCATCACATCTAAATATCAATTAAAAAGGTATTAGGCTTACTGGTGATACTTACCACCTCTCGATACTTCTTGCAGTCACTAACTCCTCTCCGTAGATCAATATCACTATTAGAATTCGACTTGCGGCTCCCTTTCTCAAATTTCAACTACCAAAAGACATGCCGAAATGACCAACAAGACTTTTGAACGAGAGGGTTCAGTGGGATTCTTAGCACTTATTCTATGAATATGTTTATGTTGGGCAACTAGGAACGGAATTTCAATAAAAGACGAATCAAGCGCTCTTTCTTGTATGCATAATTCAGGGTCGCTACTACCGCTGAGTGAGGGGTTATACTACGGCGACATCGCTTAAATGGATGGCAATCGGTGCAGTCTCCTCCAATTCTTGACGAATATGTAGGAGTTAGGCTTCATGCGGGTCCGTTTAACGTTTTTGAGCATCTTTGGTCAGTCTATGTGGAATAATCAAACCGGTACGTGTACTTTGGTCTCAGAGTGGACACCGACAAGCTCTAAAGCATTAGTCAAGCAAGATCATTGCTTATTCCTGGAAAACCAACCAGCTCCTATCTACCAACCAAATGCCTCGTAATTTTAGGGATGCTGCAAATCTTTTGCAAATTAAATTAGAGCACGTTGACAAACTGTCTTAATTTAATGTCGTGAGAATAGTTTCTACCGTATGGCTCACTAATTACCTAATGCCAATCCAACATTGATGCGTGAAACAGGTCCCTGCCAATACGATCCTATTGCGCATTATGGAGGTAGCTGCACAATCGAGGCTTTGTGAGAGAAGGATGCACTCTCTGCAGAAAATAGGGTCTTGGCTCCAATGCTAAGTGCTACCACTTTGTACGCTTAAAACCTCGCGTTCTACCTGCCTTACGTCCTTTGTTCGTGGGAAACGGAGCTTCGAGGAACTACGAGCAAATTAGAGATGCCTCATGTGATGGCTAGTGGTGGTGTAATCGAGACGTCTCAATATTAGATTGACGCGTCAGGTAGCCCGTACATGCCGGGTTGCCTGACAAAAAGTTCTCATGCTATTTGAAGTGAGCCGGCGCGATGGATTAATAATTCATAATAATAGCTTAGCCAACGGTACATGGTTAAACATGCTTTCATGAGCCAAGCCGAGGCCTTAGCTCTAAGTTTGCTTCATTTTCATCCGATCGATACCGCGTTGGCCCATTGCACTTCCACATCCATGATCTCTGTCGCGCCACGATTGGAAAGAGTCCGCGACTCACACGTGATGAGAGGTGCATCATACGCGCCATGGCACCTGGACGGGTGCTAGCGAATTGTAGGGCTCATACTAGGCTTACACGACGAGATGCGTCGCGGATGACACCTGGATATATCTATCGAAACACTTCTGGCCATGAGCGCAGGAGGGTGTGGGAATCTGCTTGGTGCTACGCTAGGGGAAAGGGAAGGCGTGGAGTGTGCGGCTTCAAATCAATAATAAATATCTCAAGCTCCTCCTAGAACGGACGACGGGAACTGCAATTATGTTGCCTACCGCACATGCACGTGTGTCCTCGACTCGATAAATCTGAGCACTTTTCCATGCCGATAGACATCCAAAGGCCGTTGGGAGATGACTGATCAGATAATGCTGGCGAGGACGTGACGAGACACGGGCTAATGCAGCGGAATTTGTAGATGCTCAATGGCAGCGGGTGCCAGCCAATCGATTGTCGCACTAATGATCGAGTCTTACTGTTCCCTCCGCAGCTTGCGCAATCCTGTTCAGGTAACTCTGCCAGGCTCTATCCATCTGTCTCTATGATCGGCGGAAAGGGCCCAGGCCCTTCTCCGTGCACCAATCGCACAGCGCCTTTCCTGCCGACCAAGTTATTCGCTGCTTCGCGGCGTAGAGCGATCAGCAAAACTTCCCAAGGATCATGTAGCCTCACCGTGTATAACGCGACCGTAGTATTCTCTCCAACGTAGTCAGCACGCCCGAGAGGGAGGGTTCGCAGGCATACAATCTGGATGTTGGTGGGAGTAGTTACTCAGCCTTGACCAAGGGTGCGACACGTCGACTGCACTCTACCATTAACATACGTTTGATTCAAGAGCCTAGTCCAGCGCTACCTATTGCATGAAACCCGCCGTGAGCCTGGTAAACATCTAGAGAAATTACTATTCTGCTCGTTGCTTGGAACCGGCTGGAGCCATTCGCAACTAATTTCAACAGCCTGAAACGCGTGTCAGATTTAGGGTTTTCGGTACGGCCGAACCAAAAGGGTCCGCTCCGATAATGCGTCCGAGTTGACGCGATTTGCTACATGACCAACTTCTGACGCAGCGCGCTCTACGGCCCTTCAACAAAACCACTGGTTGGTAAATGAGCCTCCACGATGAATCCATCGCCTTAAACTTCCAACGTCGAGCGTATTAAACACTTTGTCATATCCCCCGCGACCAACACGCCTAGTACAACCAATACCGTCAAAGACGCGACTTTCTCCCCACCCCGCACTTCGAGCATAGTTCACAGCGCTCTAATTACGGCTCTATAAGATCGCGCACGTATTGTCAATTCTGCTTTGCCAAGTTCCCGAAATCATGCACGATGCGGCTACGAAACGTCATCCAGAGGAAAGAGGAGAAAGCAAGGCAAAACGGAAGAGAACGAGGTACATGTCGCTTGAGTGGCTACTTCCGGGCTGCTGTACCGAACTCTTACTGATACTTTGTCCTATAGCCCTCATGACCAAGCTGCACTCGAGGCTCAGTACAGACGGAACCCCAAGCCTAACAAGATAACACGTGCAGAGATTGTGGAAGAAATCTCATTGAACGAAAAAGAAGTACAGGTGAGAGACTAACCCGTTAAACTACAACTTACTAGAAACAATGAGTTGTCAAAGTTTGAACCAAAACCCTAACAATTTTCTAGATTTGGTTCCAGAACCGCCGCCAAATAGACCGTCGGAAGTTGCGCCCATTAATGCCGCATGAGGCTAGTGCGCTTAGTACCGGAGCAGCTATATTATTGTCGCCCGAACCGACTACCGTTTTATCTATAAGCAGTAGCCAAGCGAGCCACTGTGGAGTGGCCGATTATGGCTGTAGACCGCAGGGTCATTCTGAGAATGTTGATGGAAGTTATAAAGTTCAAGATGTAGTTTCGAAGCTGACACCTCCGATCGTTGATCCCTTAACAATCTGTAACTCGACGTCTGAACACACTCCTAAAATTTTGAACTACGAGGAAATGTCGACAAGCTCGTGCCCGAATAATCCACACACATCTCTCACATCGACGCCTGGTTATACATCAAGCTGCTCAAGTTCCAGAGTCTATACATATTCCACACCACCTTCGTCTCAATTGACGTCACTTTCTTACCCGTCTCCAACGTCATTGATTAAAGACCGGGGTTTAGATCCAAAGCAAGATAATGTGAGGAATGAACTTGAACTGGACACATCGCTCTCTAGTCGAGACCGAAGGAACACGATCACCACCGGATTATCAACCAGAGTAGATTTGTCTTCGTCACAAAAATGTAAGACTGTTGGTACATCTTTATCGTTATTGCCACCTCAATCCTCATGTTCAAACCCCGTATCTGAGAGTGTCTATCTCAAGAAAGGTCCAAAACGCCTGCGTATGGGTCTGAGTGGTCTGAAGCCGAGAGTCAATGGCAGTGAAAATCGTGAGGAAACAACACCGTCAATTCGTCGACGTCCCGTGGGTCGTTCGAGGAGTGCACAGGCCTGGAAGTTTTGCTGCGATAGAGAGCCTCATGATGAACTTACTCTTCATGCTGAAAACGAGTCACACGGTTCAGCGGTAGCTGCCATAAGCCTTATTAGGTCTACTGGTAAATATCTCTCGAGGTCAGAAGTACACAATCGGAATGTACTGGAGTTGCAGGGCAAAACTCACCATAGCAGAAGGAGAGCTCGTATAATACGAGAAATTGTAGCACCAGCAGAATATAAATCGTGCCAAAGGTTTTGCCCAACTCCAGACATGAATTATTCTCAACAAAAAATAGTGGACCTACTAAGATCACCTTCATTGGAATCAGATAAAGAGAATTGGATGCCTTATCACTATAGCAGCAACTGTCGAAAGCCTCTGCCGAGTAGCCCTTCGAGTAAGAAACGTTCAAGCCTAACGGTTCTAGATAGAAGCCATTGTAAACCATTGGATGCGAATAAATTTAGCAGTCAAAACTGTGAACGAAAGTTACTCGGAGAGACTGCTACTGAATACAAAGATGGCCTAATTCCTCGCGCGATCAAGGTTGCCGAGAGTCTGCTTCCAGGTGAGATGGACTCTGGAAAATATGGAGACATTGGGGCAATCCAGGGTCTTTTGTCTCTAAGCCAAGGAAACTGGCGTTGAGATTTTGAATTGTTTTTCATGAATTTCCGAGGTAGTTCGAGTATAGGTCGGTAGTGGACAAGTGTATTTAAAGTTTGGTGTTCCAGAGTCACTTTGCAAAGATTATTTCGAGTTTGCGATTTATTTTTATATACCCTCAAGTCGTTACTAAATTTATCAACCTATGATGGAACATATGTGCTGATGTTGTTCGAGGCATGGTCCTTTTTATTGAATCGTTGTGATCCTGAGGTACTAAACTTTGCTAGTTTATTTGGAGGATTACTTGCAATTTGTGCCCGAGGGTAAAGCCGAAGAAGATCCGTCGTAATAGTTGGAATTTCTCTCCAGAAATTCTAGTTCTTTATTCTTCTACCCAGCGAGAAAATATTGCTTTTTGGTAGATTTAGTCTTCCTATTATTCTTGGGCCGATAATTATTAGCGCCATCATACGGTACGAGTCGTTGGCTGGTAGTAATATGTTGACGCGAGGCATTATCATCGAAGTGAGCAGGGGTTTCAAGGCGAAGTTAATAGTTGAGGATCAGGAGACGTAATTACTCTACATCTTCTCGTTTCGGAGAGGTAGCTTTACTGAAGAGAAATAAGAAACTTAGTGAAGTAAAGGGATGTTAGGATGAAACAATTCTGACAGTCGAGTGGCGGGGCGCTTGACGTGGCCAACTGATGTTTCTCGTGAGGGAAATGAACCCGATTAAGGAAATCTATCTTCAAAGTGTAACTGTCGAAATATCTCTGACTTACTGCGGATTTGGGGGGTGTGTTGAGCGGGGGGAGATCTTCTGGTTGAGACATGTATTGGCTAGGTGTGCAAAGGGGCCTCATCTTGTTTACAATGCGCCGACGCGAATCGAGTTGTTCGGGCAACCAGCTCCACTAATCCCCACGCCATCGTTGGTATCAGACAATGACGCACGACGGCCATGTGGTTCCGTGGTATGGCGTCGCACCCTTACAACGGAAATTGGAAGTCCAATGTTCTTCAGCCTCGAGAAAGCGTCAACACTCCATGGTGAAGCCAGCAGCAGGCACACTAGGACTCATGATGTTTGAGGAGTTTACGACTATGGGGTCTCTGTGTGCGGCAAGACCAAGTTCTAGGAAAGTGCTACCGACTGTTCAAATACAGGTCACACCGCGTTCGGTTCGGTGGATATAGATGTGAGGAGTTGACGCCAGTCATTACGGCAACGGTTGGCGCAAGGAAAGGTGTTGCCATTAGAATGTATCTATCGCTGGACAACAATGGGGGATTCAGGCAAGAATAATGCTTTTCATGATTTTTCCTAGTCCACATTGAACCGGTCTACCTTTTTCGCAATACATTTGAATTGCATAAGCAGCTGGCCAGCTACGAAACAATATCGGAGAACATTAAATAACGGGTGGCTCAGTATACAATTACACCACATGGGCCTCGGATTTCATTTGCAAGCACTACTGCGAAGTTATTGTGGCTTTTTCTTCACCCCAAGTCAACTGTTGTTTGTCATTACATATGGTACCCCTCAGCCACTCAGTAGATTTAGTATTTCGAGTTGAAGTGACATTGTAACGAGGTCTTGGCACGATTCAAGGGTTCAAGGCTGAATACTCATCATGTAGGGGGACTATTCTCAACACCTCTCAGCGGTGTCCCCTACGAACCTCCAGTTCTCACTGTAGAGTCTGCAGAGCCGAGATTGAGTAATAAAGTCCTCACTTCGACGAGGATTCCCAATCGCTTTCGCCGTCTGTATCGTCTTCATCTCTCAACACATTTCCCTATCACTATTATCATGAAGCTAACCACGATCAGATCAGATGGTAGGGTCGGAGCCCTACTTATCACTAAACCTTGATCACGGAGGAAAAGCCACCCGATGAGTTTCCGGAGCGTACCCAGCACCCGATACGGAGATGGTGGATTGGATCAAGTCGACCTCGACTGATACAAACAAGGGAGATATAGATGAATATGCGCACCTCATGTGGTCCCGGTGTCTAGGCCTCGCCTGGCTGGGGCTTCAGGTTTTTTGAGACTTTTTCCGGCGCACGCAGTTTCCATTGCTACCATTTTTATTTTTTTTGGGTAGAAGGTTCCGTGGAAAAGGTGGCCGAATTCCACGGGTAAAGACTGAGCTGAATGGCTATTCATCAAGGGGAATATATCAATGATCTTTCAAGTAACAAAAGAGGATAGGAGCACTGTACAAGGTGTGGCCTGGGTCAGAGAGGAGCCCAATGTGCTAGATAGTCATAGACTCAAGTAGCACAATAAACACAAACAGACACTCATCGTGTAATTTCATTACAGTGGTATCAGAGAAAAGTACAGAAAAGATGACTCAATTTATAATAGGAGCGCTCATGCCTCAGATTTCATTTGCAAGTACCACTGCGAAGTTATGGCGGCTTTTTCTTCACCCCAAGTCAACCTTCATCCGTGAATACCCACCCAGGGGAACATCTCAAAAACCCTGATTTGTCCAGAAATGCCTCCATCACCTTTCAACATTTCTCCGCGCGAAATGTGGTCTGAGGTATCTCCTTCCCATGTGGAGTAGGTGCCCAGGCTACTCAAACTATACCGGAGAACACCACCAGGAGGCGGACCACTACACCTTCCATCGTTGGCTTGTGTTTATAGTGTCAGCTGCACTCTCGCAAGCGAAGTCTTGGCGCGCACAAAGCTCAATTCGTAAAACTCTTGCCAAAATTCAAAATGACACGCCCGTCGAGATTGTATCCTTCCTTTACATCATTTTGTGAACTTGTCCTAATCCCTTTCACGTTCATCCCAAAGAGCTATCTCCCAGATTTGTGCTCCACGCTTTGCTTCCTCCGTCGGGTATAAATATTGGCGTGGGCGTGTATTTGCTGGTCAACTGAGGCCAGAGAAGGTCTGAGAGAGGTATGGTCATTGGGATGAGGATGTACTTGGTCGTACTAGTAGACCTGATGAGACTTAGGTAGGAGCCAGACTCGTTGGGAGCGAAAAGACGACGTGGTGGAGTAATTTGAATCATTGCCTTGTGGGCCAACTTCTTTGATATTGCGAAATTTGACTGAACTTGGCTCTGGGAGAATACTTCACACTCAGGTTCTTCGAGGCCACCGCGTTCAGGTGTTCAGTCTTGCCCTCTCAGGGATATCTTCATTAAAATGCAGAAGCAAAGTTACTACGATGATTGACGTCTTGCATATTGAGGAAGCTCGTCCCTTATTCCCTAGCTTGTTCGCTTGTAGACCGATCGTGTAACCGGTATGCAGCGCACCAAAGTATGCTCCCAATCAAGCAACTATGCCTTCTGTCCTCTATCAACAACCCCTCTCTCAGCCGGCAAACACAAATTCTTCATCTTCCAGTGGTGCCGGTGTAATCGCTCAGTATGCTCTGCATATCTGGGATAGTCAAGAAGAATCGTAACCGAATCGAAGTCGGAAGCAAACACATGCATATCTCCATTTGATGACTTCTCAATCATGCAGCACTCACCGTTATTTTCTTAGTCCTCAACCTCGATCTAACCACATATCATCTCGCCTCGAAGGCCAGTAAAGAAGTAGCTCCAATTGCATACAGGAGTTTGCCCCATTAATTTCTAGCCATCTCGCAGTATATATTTACGACGCTATTAAAACCCGCAAGGAGGACATCAAGTCGAAAAATACAAAGCCTGGGTCATGGCTTATGGGGGACTGTAGCTCTGATGGGACAAATATCTTGAGGAAGGACAGGCGGCTGAGATGTGGAGCGAGAGGGGAAAGAGGTCTCTGAAGAGCATGCTGGGACCGATATTTTCGAGGAGTTTTCAACTTTGGATATTTTGTGGGCGCCAAGACTAAGATTTCGGCTAATTAGCCAGGAGGGCTTCTTCTGTCGATGAGTCAACGGAACTTTTCAGCGCCCTGGACGGCACGAAAGAAGCTAGGCTAAGCTACTATACAGTAAACACGCTCTGTCAAGACTTTTCTGACATTTCAGCACAACCTTCGGGAAGGAGTTGGAAGGAGGCTAGAAAGGCTGAGTGTGAATTTTCCGAGGTACCCACAAGTCTGCAGCGCCCAGCTGGCCGGCCTCTTTCTACGCATCAGAAGGATCACTATGTCTTCGGATTGAGTCCTAATGTAGGTATTAGGAGAGCTCCGCAACCAGTGGTTTTTTGCGATTTTTCCCGGCTGCCATACACCCGCAGTTGGCCATCGTTTTGTTGGCTGGAGAGGGGAGATTATGAAGGGTTAAGGGCTCCTCTAAGTGTATGATCGAATGAGGACTTGTGAGGGGTGGTACTGTTTGAGGGGAGCTGTATGGGAGGCATAGGAGTGGATATACTACTAATGTAGGTATCCTTGGCCTGTAGGCAGAGAGGACGTGCATGTCCTACATAGTCATAGATTCAGACAGGACAATAAAATGAAATAATAATAATATCACCCTTGTTCCTCCTTCACTTATCATCTGTGAGACTAGAGTAGCTGCAAGGTGTCACAAGCTTAGTGAGCATATTGATTCACCTGTGTAGTATTTAGTAGATAATAACGTATTAAACTCGAAGGATGTGACAGCGCAAATACGACGACATCCCACGATGAGCGAAGATATGGACCTCTTATTCACAACAACGGGAGGTGAACTACCCACTCCATCTAGTCAGTACTCTGCTCGTAACGCATACGACGAGCCATTCCGATTCTTTCTGGGGATATTACGAGTATTTAGCTTAAAATGCCAAATTGCCCGTGAGATGAGCGAGAGATAAGATATTCGATCATGATGATCGATGATTGCTCACTTTATATCATAGATTACCCTCGATCAAGAACCATCTTCATTCGAGAAAAGTATTTATGTCTATCGGTGAATATTGTCCTATTCCCTCTTCATGATTCCTACGTCCGTCTGTTCAGTTCAAATATCTTTTCATCCTAACTCCACGGCTAGAGAGATGGCATACCGATATAAAAACAGAGCGCACATTGCATAAATTCGTCACTGCTATCTGCCTAGCTCTGCTAC